GAAAGCATACAAAAGCAGATGATTCTGACATTCTTATTTGTTGATCCAGGATTTAAAGGTTTGCATATTACCTTTTCTAAAAGATACGTGTGCTATCATATTTATACAGCCACGCTCTGTGTTTTCCACCATTTATCGTTTTTTTGTAAATAAATACTTTTTTGTTCATATTTGTTTACACAATGCATTGGTTTGAACAACCGACAGTATTTTTAATTATCAGCTATTAATAGTAGTCAACAATTTAACACACCTGCGTTTAATCGATAGTTACAAATCTATATATTGATCGAATATTTTTCTTATGCTTATTAAATTATCATACTAAACCTTTTAAAATGTGGATGCTTGATTTAAAAAATATTCAGTCTTAAAGATTTTGTGCCTATTATCAAATTAAGACTGGTATCGGTTCTTCATGTTTGTGGGCTAAATTAATTTGTTTATTTGTAACAAGAGGATATAAAAAATTGTAGAAAAATCTTGTGCTTACAAAAAAAAAATAATAATTCTTTTCTTTTTAAAATTGTCCTTTCCAAATTTAAGATGTCCTTCGATAATTTAATAAAGTATAAACCGTCAGTCTAGTGAAAATTCAAATTTTATAAAAGTTAATTAGGAATACCTTTTTAATATTTAAGAAAATTAACTAGTAAAATATTTTTATATTATTAAACAAGACTAGCTTGTAGACCACTCCCAGATTTTTCTTTCTGATTTGAAGCACACAAATAAATGCATAAATACGAAAATATTTCCCAATACACATATTTTGCATTCACGCCCAGCTAATCAAACAACCCCCCAAAAAGCGGAAATAAATGCGGGCAAGGAAACGAAATTTGCAACAATGAGGAGCACACAAACGCATTTATTTCGCCATGAACATGCATACATGTGCAAAGGGGAAAACTGCACACAAGCATAAACATAAGCATATGCACACACACTGGCGCATCGAGGACTCACACACACCATGACGTGCATTAGTTGTGGCCCGGCATTCATTTCATTTTTATTCCGCACTCACTTTTCACTGTTAGTTATGTCTGCTTGTGGTTTCCTTCTTTTCACGTTATTTATGTTTATTTGCATATATTTTATTTTATTTTATTTTACTTTATTTTTCTGGGAAATGGGGGAGAGGAAATGCAACCAAAACACGCTCATTTATCTCCGCATACACCACGCGAAATTTGTGGTAAAGCTAGCATACTTCTGAGCGCCCGGGGTGCATCTGCATCTGGAAATGCATCTGCTACTGTGAGAGACGTTGGAAAATTAGTAGACAAATAACCGTAATGGTCAGAACGTGAAAAAGTCCAAACTTTGAACTAGAGTCCTCTGTACTCTAAAATAAATAACCAAAAACTGCCAACAGCAAACAAATACAAACCGAAATGTATTTCAACGTAAATGCACATATGAGCTTGTTTGTGGCAACAGCTTAGGTATGCAAATTTATCTGCGGTTCATAAGCAGCTTACCATTTGGTCAGCAAACAACTTCTGGCTAAACGAAACTCAAGTAATTTGCGTATTGGCAAGGTAGAAGAAAATTTTGAGGTATCCGATTTTATTTTCAGTTTCGCCACAGGATTGTGCAAAATGATGTCCAAATGAAACACCAATAAGAGTTTGAATTTAATTAAATTAACACTAAATAGTAATCAAATCAATTCTAAAATGAAATACACATTAAGAAATTACATATGTGAATTTTCCTATTTTTTTATACAAGTCTCAATGTTTTCATAGTAGTATCTATGTTGTAATTCTATTATTCATCTTTTTTGTGTAATCTAAACAAAATGTACGTACCGATAAGCCCCACTAAACTATTACCTTTACATACTAATAATACTCAATATATGTATGTTTTGCTTTTTTGGGTGGAAAAGCATCCTTTTGACTTCGCTATACCGCCAACCTGCTAGCAACAGATGTGCAGCATGAGCAACCAAAAAGAACAGCAACCGGAAGACGCAACACTCCCTAAACATCAGTAAAATATTCGAACCATTTTGTTGCCGCGTCTTTGCCATTTGTAAATAGACCGCCCAGATTCCTCCCTGGAATCGAGTGGGTCCCTTAGTCATGTTTGATTTGCAATTTTGCACAATCAAACTCTTGGCAACACTCGCACGGAGTGGAGGTCCTGGAACAGCCAGCAGGCTGAATCCCAAAAATTGCCAATAAATTTGGGCTATTGACTGTGTCTGGCTACAAATTTGCTGCTTGCATATTTTATTTGTGAAGCGTATGTTGTGAAAATGCAAATGCAAATACAGGAACTCGCAGTGAGGGTGTGAGATTAATACCTGCCCAGAGAGAAACAGCAAAAGGCAAAATACATAAACTTTACTATAAATGGGAGATGATAGGATTATGATTATTTGAGAAAATATATTTTTAAAGCCATTACAGAGTAGTTAGATAATTAAACAGATTGGATAAGTTAAATGGATATGTAGCTTGCATTTCTAGTTTTTAGGTCTTATAAAAAATAAACCTAACAATTTTTGTATAAGGATTCTTGTGCAAAAAATATATTTTTTCATACATTATTTATACAAAGCCCAAAATGGTTTGGAAAATTTAATAACACATTTGTTTTTTAATGCCAGTATACTGTAATTATAAATCTTTAAAATTATAAATTTTAATCGTGAAAAACCAATAGAAACGATTTAAGGACTAATGAGGAAGGGATCGATGCGTTAAATTAATGTTGTGTAAGGTTTCCGAATCATTGATTGAGGAGCACAAAGCCCCGGGACCGGACCTATGGCCAACATGGCGTATGAGTGTTGCGCGAATATTTTAGCAACAGTCACGCAGCAGTTACAACTGGGCGTGGCTAAGGTATTTGGGGGTATGTGTGTGCAGTCGTGTGTTATTTGGTGTAAATTATATGGCCGAAAGATGCAAAATTAGCCAAATAATGGCTGCCTAATGTGCCGGAAAGCTGGCGAGCGAAAGTTAATGGCGAAAATCCTTTAGTCCCCCATGATGAAAACATAAAACGGAGCCACTAAAAGCAAATCGAGAGCGGCACATATTTGCTAATCCAATAAGTGTTAGCTGCTTCACTGCCTGCAAAAAGGGCATTAAAGGGTTAAAGCGAAGCATACAATTTGTGTAAATTTCCAACAGAGAGTTTATTTTCATTCCTTTGGGTTAAAACGTATTTGGTTTAGCACATTCTTTTATTTTTGTTGCCCCTGTCAAACTTGTTCAGCGGTAATTGAACGGACTTTAAATGCCAGCCAAAAATTGCACAAAATGCGGGCTAACGCAAACGGCTTTGGTCCAGGTTTTTCTTCTTTCTTTCTTTTTTTTTTATTATTTGCGTTTGATGTGCCACCGAAGCTGAGGCTTGGGCGGGACGACGGGGGGACAAGTGGTGCAAAATGCAGTTGGGACTCCGTGGCGACTCCTATGCAAAAGAAGCAACGCTCGCCAACGCGACGACATAGAAAGTTTTCCTTTTTCTGTGCTTTTTAGTTTTGGTGGCGCTTGTTCCAACCAGCAAAAGAGTTTGGTCATATAGAAAAATGTGTCGGGGAAAAAATTATATTAAAATGTACAAAAAATCGACAGAATTCAGCTTCGAGCGCTTAAAGGTATACATGCCCATCAGGATGAAAAAAATTAAATGCAGAAATATAAAAAACATATAAAAAGCTTAAGAACCATAGAGTAGCTTATTTTTTAATTTTCCGGATTATTATAACTAACATTGAAAAAATATTTTGAACATTAAGAGGAACCAATAACCAATGTACATTTTTTTTGAGATTTATATGGCACCTTCAAATAAATACAATCTCAAATAGTTAGGGTATGCATTCATGAGAAAAAAGTCAAGCTGAAAACTGTTCCACATAAAGAACAATTTTCGGGTCGAAACGCAGCGAAAAAGGCAAACTGACTTCAAGTGGCATTTTGACATTTTGTTGAATTTCAACTCGGTTTTTCGTTTGGGGATAGTGGTGGGGGTCAGGGGTCATTGGGTGTTGGTGAGGTGGGGTCCGGTGGGGTGTGTTGGATGAAAAAGTGAAAGGGGCAGGGTCAAGGGGCCGGAGAACTCGCAGATGGCTGGCCATGCAAACGAAATGCATAGAGACGCATTTTTTCCTTAAATTAGAAAAACAATTGCCAGCGTTGTGGGCTAGAAAACCTGCAACTTTAGTCAAAAGGTTGACCACAGAAAAAGTTCTCAAAGCGTTTACTTTTTACACGTCGCTTTTCAACTTCACAGAGCTGATGTTAAAAGTTTCCACTTTTGGACTCAAGCTTTTACCTATAAATTGTTTTATAAGCACTTCGCCAGGTGTATACATATTTTATTATGTAATATTTGTTTAGCATATTGTCCACTGAAGTGCTGAATTTTTTATTTTATATGACATAAACAAGTTGGGTGCAGATCCCGAATTCGAATTCCGGAAAAAGTAACGTCAACGTTGAAAAAAAAACAAAAAAAATAATTTTTCTGCTAAAAAGTATTGGACTAAATTAAAATGTTTTCGAAATTAATTTTGTTATATTAATATTTGGGTCCTAGCTGCTTTACGATTTCTTCAATTATAAAATCAAATATTAGCGCCAATTCTTAATAACATATTTATAAATTGTCAGTTTAAAACAATATTTAGTTTTTTAGATAGGCAATTTATATCCAAAAAAATAAATAAATAAATGTATTTATTTATAAGAACTATGGTTGTCGCCTTTGCCCTTACAATAACAACAAAATTAGGGACATTTATTTAGCCTAACTTTTGTTCCTCGACAAATCAAAACAAAAATATGTTGTATATGTTATATTCGTGTTTTTTGGCTTTGCTTTGGATATTCAAAACAGACGCGCATCAGTGTGCAAACACTATTAGAGCGGTTATTTCAGCATCTCTAAGTGTGACCGTCGCCTGCGATCACAACTATCGATATGGCGCTTTTTGAGAATCGCTTTCAGCCTGGCAAATAGTTCCGTTATTAGTAAGAAGAAGAGCGAAAGCGAAACAAAATAATTATTTTCTAGAACTTGTGATTTTTAGACCATACAATATGGAATTGCGCAGCCGAACGCACAAGAAATTAGCGGACATCCTCAAAAGTAAGTATATACAACAAATGTTGTTATAATACCGATTGAAAGAGCTTAATTTGCGCAGGCGCTGGCGCCTATGAGGCCAACATGGAAGTCGAGGAGATGCGCGAATTGGTCACTGCCTTGGAAAGCTCGGCCAACGCCGATGATCAGGATCTGGAGAGGGTTTTACATGTGGGCTAACTACCTTAAAAATACTTATTCCCCTTAATATCACCGATTTCCGCAGGAGAGCGAGTTGGAGTTTTTGTGCTCGCAGCCGAGTGCTTTGCACAACTCCACGATGATCATACCGCCCCAGGGGCCCACGATGAATCCAAATTTGGACAGTCCGCCAAGCGAACCTATTTGCTTGACCGTTCGGGCTGTGGTCCATCATGCCATGGACTGGAGTCCCACGGCGGAAAGGCGACTTCCTGTCCGAAAGCGAAGTGCTGGGGACCACAACCAGATCATCGATCAGGATGGAAAGCGTTCCAGACCTCCAGTGATCAGCAGTGGCCAGGATCAGCAAAATCAGGAGCAAGATAACCAAAATCCGGATGCCACGCCCGTTTCAATCGGAAATGAGGGCGATTCTGGGGTCAGTTGGGAGGAGGCATCGTCGCTCTCCAGCGTTAGCGATGCCATGTCCATGCCCTCCATTGGCGAAATGCCCGATCGACACTTGATAAGCACCAGCAGCGCTGCAGTCTCCGATTTCTCAGATATCCACGAGCATAGCCACGATTAGGAAGCTCTTGTCAATATTTTGTGGGTGCCAGATTTTTTGTTAGCCTTAAGCGACAGCAGCACCGCGATTTGAAAATAAAAATCATTCTTCTAGCTTAAGCAATTGTCATAAAAATATTTAAAATTCTCGTCTGTCCAGTAAAATTACATCAAAAGGCCGGCTGTTCGCTTTAAAATCAAGAGCACACAATAAATGTAATTTCTTTAAAACACATACACCTAAAAGCTCTTGTATAATTTAATTTTTTTTGTGGCAGATAAGGGTTTCAGTTATAACATTTCAAATGTTTTGAGAAAACAAATTTTTTATTCATTATACATTTTGCAGCCTATAGAACATTTATAACAAGAAAGGAAAGCTAACTTCGGGCGGAGCCGAAGTTGATATACCCTTGCAGAATATTCTGTAAATTATATTCTCCAAAATTATTCATATGATGCATTCTTAATAGTCATAAAAAGTCCCAACTTCCTAACTTTACAAACTCCAAAGTTATGGCTTTTCCGATCGTTCAGTTATATGGCAGCTATATGATATAGTGGCCCGATCCGGCTTATATATTACCGGCAATAGAAAGACAAGTTTTGGGAAAGTTTCAAGCAGATATCTTTAAAACTGAGGGACTAGTTTGCGTAGAAACGGACGGACGGACAGACGAACATGGCTAGATCGACTCTCCTAGTGATGCTGATCAAGAATATATATACTTTATAGGGTCGGAAATGTCTCCATCACTGCGTTGCAAACTTTTGACTGAAATTATAATACATTCTGCAAGGGTATAAAAATAATAAAAGCTAGAGCAAATTGATGACTATGTTGCTATGTTTTTAAACTATAAAAACTTTTTTTAAGGAGGTAAGAAAGTCGTGACAAAATTTTGTATACATATTCTTCAATGTTCAAGGTTTTCTATTTTAAAAAAGACAAAAAGTCAGATCAAAAAACAACATTTTATTATATTTTTAAAAAATTAAAATACTAATGACTTAAAAAAAAGTTTGTTTAGAGTTTTAAAAAATTTTTAAATAAAAGAATCATTACAACTCAACATAAACATTTATATTTAGACTAACATAAAATATTTTAAAGAATTTCAAATGTTATTTTTGAATGATATTAGTTATTCGTAATTTATTATTTGTATACATAATTAAGTATTCCGCCTTCTTGTTTTTTTGGCTTAGATTACCACCATATTGAATTCAAAAAATGTTAGTTCTAGGACGTTTATTTCTAGTTTCCAAGTTGTACAGCGCAAATATTGTCAGATTTTTATCCAAAAAATAAACTTTTTTGCCCACTTTGCAACAATAGAATCGATAACTCATGAGCTTATCCTAACAGCAAACCCTTATTTAAAACACGTGGTTCTATCGAAATGGTCACACTGATAAGCAATGTGTACACACTCTTTTTGTTATAACATCGCTTTTCGCAGAGTCATTTCGCAGCCAATTTAAGAACAATATATTCTAAAAAATGTAATGGAAAATAAAAACTTAGGTTGAACTCACTGTAAATAATATGGGTTTGCATAACAGGTCCCTACAGGTTCCTCACATTGTGGGCGATGATGACGATGTTCTAGAAGATTCGTAAGTCAGCTTTGAAATTGCTAAATAATATTTTACTATATTATTACACTTTATTAATAGGGAAAGTGAACAAGACGATAAAGAAAATTCAAATGAGAATGAGTGAGTATATTATTTTGAATGCGATGCAATATTTTTTACATTTCGTACTTCCAGAATGGCTATGGATGGTTCATGTTGGGTATTGAAGGCCAACCACATGAAACCCACACCGTAAGTTTTCTTTTAAACCTTGAGATACACCCTGTCTAAAAATTGCTTGCAGTCCAATTTCAGAGATGAAGAAGTCACCAGTAATTCCAAAGGATATCTCCACCGTTCCTACAAAAGCTTTCCTTACACCGCAACGCCCGCAGCCCTACTCCTTGGCCATTCCCCACCGTCTCGTCAATTCTCTGGCGGATTTTTCTGCTCCGGAATCAATTGGAGCACGTGTATCCAGACGAAGCAGAAGCAACATTGGGTTCATCAATGACGGTATTACTACTCAAATCGCTCCACCTGTCCAGCTGGCCAAGCCGATGGATATCACCGGCTACTTCCACGAGCTGTCCGTTAATCTCGTCCAGCAACGCGTCTGCCTGAAGCCCTTCTTGGAGCTGCGCAAGCGCATCGATCGGTTGGCGGCCCAATCTTTGCAGGAATCCAAGCGGATGCAGAAGTAGTAAATCATCCGAGTCAAGAAGAATATTATAAAGAAATTATAAATGTATAAACGATACTTATTTTTAATATAATCTTTCATACTTACATTACTTTGTGCGCCAATGGAATATTTTAGTTCAGTTTTTTATGTAGTCCCATGGACTCAATTAGTTTTAATTAAGGTCTAGCTCTTTGGAAGCAAATTAGACAAACTACATTTTATAAGATTCGTGAACATTCGATAGGTATTTTCTTTTAAGAAAAAAGTTTTTTTACTTTTAAATAATATACACATATATTCGACTAGTGGTACATTTTCTAAATAAATCGAACAAATCCAAATGTATATATTAAATTCAATTTAAAATGAATATAAAATATAAAAATAAATGCAAACAAAAAACAGTCTAGTAACCACATTGTTCGTCATCCAATTCGGTGCAATTGCAGTAGTTGACATCAGGAGCGATGTCGGAGGCCAGATCGTCCTCACCAATTGTCACACAACGCACATTACAGGGATATTTCTGAAGGACTCATGATTTATACGGGATGTTAAGGAAGAAAAGGAAAGTCAAACCCACCACGACGACCAGCGGATGGCCATCCTCGTCTGTGAGTCCCACATTATCGCAACCATCACCCTCATTCTGCCGGTAAAGTATGAACTTGGTCATACAACAGAGCACGATCTTCGAAAAAAAGACTTTGTTTTAAATATAGGCTTAAAATACCCTTATAGGCCCATTTTTATATGATGATATAAAACGGAGCAATAAGAGCTGGCTGGAAATATTAATCGTGATAATAAACATATAATTATAGACTTAATAACCCAGGTGGTATATGTTGCCCCAATATCCATCAACCTACCAAAAATATATAAATCGCACCATTATTTTGAAATTGGCTAGCTGAGAAAAGTGTTTCTTAAAAAATATATAAGTCTCATTGCATATGGGCTGAAAATCAGAGAAGCTTTGTATTATTATATTCATTTTTGGTATTTTTATATGGAAGGAAATTATATAGTCGCCGATTTTTATAAAATTAAAATTGTAAGCAATTAATTTGTGACGCAGTATATAAATGTTTTAATTTTTTGTTCAACAATTTTTTCTATTGTTTCTATGGCAGCTAAAAATGTTGAGTTTTTTCTTTTGTTTTAGATAGGTGAAAGTGTATATTTATAATAAAAAAATTTTAAAAAATTAATTAAGCCCATTTAATATATTTTTGAGCACATTTATCATAAGAAGGTACTTGTCCGATTAAGCGATGGAGTCACTGTATATGACTATATGATTTTTGCAGCAACTGAAAAATTAAAGTTATATCGAGGTATCACTATACCAAGTCGCTTAGGGATGCTGATCAAGAATGTACTTTGTAGGGTTGGACATGTATTTTATACTACGTTGCACACTTTTTCCTGAAATTATAATACACTCAGCAAGGGGAAAAAGGGGTTACTTACCAGGAACTTCAAGGCCAGGACCCAAAGCGCCAGCAGGACGTAGAAGAGGTTCCACACCGCGCCGACGAACGCCGGCAGACATCCGTCCGCATTGATGGAGTCCACAGTGAGGGCGGGAAACGGCTGGCGGCTGCTGCCACCGGTGGCATGCCCCTCGCCGGGCATGAAGTTGCTGAAGCAGCTCTCGCAGGACCGCCTGCAGCAGGCGTAGGGTGCCAGGACTATCGACGAGCAGTTGTCCTCCAGCCCCGGCATCCAGTCAGCACTCATCCAATCCTTGTAGCCGTGCACCCCGCAGCACTCCTTGCGCCACTGCAGTCCGTCCCACAGGAGCTTCCACTCCGGACACGAGTAGTACATGTCGATGCCGCGGGTCAGCGAGGTCTCCGCCGCATTCTCCAGCACATCGACGCCCCGGTACAGACTCCAGATGCACCCGAAGCCGGAGGCAATGATTACGCAGGAGTAGAACCCCCACATGGACAGCAGAAGGCGAACGTTGGGCGTGCAGCGCCGCCTCCAGATCCGCCGCCACATGGCTATGCTGCAGAGGAAGGTCACCCCCAGCTGGGCCCCAAGCACGTAGACCCCAAACAGATAGCCGCCGACCAGACGGCACTCGATCTCCGACAGGTAGCCGGTGAACAGGGCGTGGTAGTAAGCGGTCACCACCAGGATCAGCAGTCCGATCACAGCCTCGGTTATCAGCAGCAGGTTCACGTAGACGGAGGCTCGGCGGAAGGGCTGGCGCATTTGGTCATCCTCGTGGGCATCGGTCGAAAGTTGGGCTTGTCGGCGAGGTTTTGGCTCTGAACTCGAATTTCATTTGGATTGACGCTGATCGCTAGGATTTCTCTATACATACATATATCCGTAACGTCTATGGTAGCATATACCTAAAGGGTATTACAGATATTCGAATGAAAATAATAAAAATAAACCTGAAGACTAAACTTAGATTTCAAATAAGAAGGTGGGTAAATGATTTAAGCACAGTCGAACTTCAATAATTTGAACCACCACATTGGATTTTATTTTATTCTATTTTTTTGTACATTGTTCGAATAATAGAATCTCCGAGACAGGATGTATTATTCACCAAATTTATTGATTAAAGATACTCTTAAATAAAATCTCCAAAATGAACTCTTAGACCACCATGGTATTTTAGGACTGATATATTGTAAATTGAAATAATAGCATTCCAATTGAAATAATATCTAAATATCTAATATATCAAAAACAGAAGACCGTTTTTCTATTTTATTTAGATCGTTTTATTTGGATCGCAAGTGATAAATGTAAATACGCTTAATTATATATCAGTTTAAAACTTTTTAATTGAATCTGAGCAGTTGAGAGTTCATCAGTTAATAGATAAACCTTATATAGTAAGTGGTTATCAGATGGTTGATTCATCAGTCTTTCATCAATCGCCGCCTTTGGGAACAATTACCGCACGAAGCTGAACTTGAGGACCCCGGAAGTATAGTCCATATTGGGTCCGATCTGCTTGGCGTCGATCTTGATAAGCTTGATGTTGTCCAGGCAGCGCGGACTGTGAACTATTTCCTGATTGATGTCGCTATGCCGGATCCAGAGTTCCAAGGGTTGACTGCGCCACCTTTGCTTGGTCAGAATAGCTATGCAGCTCCATACGAAGGACTCTCCGTGACACCGAGATCGGGTGATGTCCAGGACCCTCAGCTGCCGACAATTGATCACGAATTCTAGAAGGCCCAAAGGACTCTCTAATTGATAGCCACACAAATGGAGCTCGGTTAGCTCACGCAGTTGACTGGCCAGTTGTCGCAGCACCTGATCCTCCAGGCACTGCAGCTGACCGCCCTCCTCCTCCTCTGCTTGACCATGTAACTCTAGTCGCGACAGCTGTCTAAGATTTCCCAGCTCCCTGAAAAACCTTCCATAATCATGAAGTATTCCACTGAAGCGAAATGCCTCTATAAGTCTGGCTGATCCAGGAGGACTGCTCGGTCGAGCTATTCGCGACAGGACATCGAAGACGAAGTTTTTGGAGTAAATCGACAGCTTTTGTAGGCGTGGCAGCCGGAGAAGTTGCTGCGTAATGTCCGACTCCATGCACAGGTGATAATCGGCAATTTTGATATGCTCCAGTGTGGGGCACAGCTGGAGATCCGCGAGATCGCAACAGTTCACCTCGTCGCAGTCCTCCATAATGTCAAATTTGCGTAGTTTTAGCTGCCGGAAGAGGTCCCTGAAGTGCTGGGATTCCAGGAACTGGCAGTCGTCCAGACAGAGTTCGCTTAGGTGCTCCAGGTCGCACAGGTACTTCCCAGTGATTTGGCAGCCCCTGAGCTTGAGCCTCCTTAAATTCGGGAATACCCTTCGCAGCAGTCGCACATCCTCGTCCACGAAGCGAACGCGTCCTCGTCGATTCCCATCGCCCAGCCACTCCAGGGATTGGATGCTCTCCAGGGTGTGACTGCTCAGGACTCGCAATCTCCGGACATCAAGCTGGTGGCAACTCAATCGTTCCATGTGCGGAGCCAAAGCCAGGATGAAGGCCAGGAAGTGCCGGGAATTGCACACCGATCGCCGGAACATTTCGTCCTGCAGGACAACATTGCGGACTCGGGTCCTCCAGAGCATCTGCACTATGCTCTCCAATCGCCTGTTCAACCTGCCGATCTCGTACTGCTGGAACACATTCAGCTGGCGGACGATCAAAGCCAGGACATCGTCATTCAGCTGCAGCAGAGAAGCCGCAGTGGGTGCTGAAAAGGGGAAGGATCTTACTGTGTTCAAGGTTCTTTTCCTGGTTTTGCACATTCCTTACCTGTATCTGTGGTCATCTGTGTTGTGTTCTCGATCGTGGTGTTTGAAATACTAACGAATCTACGCCGTTGCCATGGCCAGATGATGGCTACCTAGTGCGAAGGTCATTTAGGGGTGGATTTCCAGGCAAATCGGGCGGAATTCGCGCTACCTAAATTCCTTATCCTTTTAGAGATGGCCATCCGAAACGATATTTTTTGAACCAGTAAGGATCGATCAGTTGTCTTTATAGTGTGCTCAGATAATATGCAAATAAATAGTAGCTTTAACTGCTTCTCTAACCTGTTTTTTTTATTTTTATATGTTTAAAAATTGTTTGGTGTAAGTAATTTTATGTAATGATTGTATTCAAAATAACCTTTATGTAAATAACAAAATATAGAATTTTCTTTTAATTTCATTCCATAAATTGTCGATTTTTCCACTTAAACAGTACATTTTGTATGAAAACGAATAGCCAGATTTTTATCAGATCTATAAGAATCGAAACTATTTGTAAACTTGTTCAAAAAAAGTTGAGAAGTTTAATTTCGATGTATTTTAAACTGAACTGAACGACCCTCCGGTGAGGATTCATAACATAAAATTTAAAATGAAATAAGGACTTAAAATAATATTGTAATCCGCAAACCAGCTGAAAATGACATTTACATATTTTGTTAAAAACCAGTTTTTATGCTTATGCTGCGCGTTTTTGCTGCTCATTTATTTGTTTTTGTTTAGTGCTTACTACTTCATCAATTTTAATTACATTTTACTCGTAACTTGTACAATATATACTATATATAATATATATATATATTTATATGCATTTCATTTGTTGTCCAATTTCTGTCGTATAGGCATATATTTTAGGTATATATAGTGTTGTATTGTATCTGCTTTATAGTACATTATTGTTTCTATTTAGTATTGTTACTGTTTGTTGCTTTTAATGTTTACGTTATTTGGGGCGTTCCAAGCGTTTTTTTCAGCTCCTGTTAATTTCTCCTCGGTTTCGCTGCGATTAGGAAACATTTTATTAAGGTTAATGGGTGCGTGTCTGTCTGTCAGTGAGTGTGGGCGTGGATTAAATTACTTCTATTCTCACGTTATGCACTACGCAACTTACAAATAAACTATTTCGTTTTATTAATATTGCAACACAAGTGAATTTTTTCCTTGGAGTCGTACTTAAAATTGCCTTTCGCATACTACACATACATATCCGCTATATATTAGTTAATAATCGTACAATAATATATATCTCTATATGCATTTTATATACTGCGATCTATACACATCACCAAAAATCCGAAAACACCGAAAACTAACACGGATAATCAACTACATAATTATAGACGTATGATAGTGTTTGCGACTTCCAAAATCAAGAATTTTTAGTGTGTTTAAGCAAAATTCTTGCACATGTTGAATGTTTCAATGATGATTTTTTTTACAATTTTCAATTGTTCCCTGCATTCGTAGTGTATTTAAAACTTTCACTTCGCTGCCAATTTACGTGAATAAATTAAATAAAGTTAAATAAAACCAAGTCGTGTCTTCAAATGGTCAAACAAACAGTTTTACATTTTCCGTTTATTCGTGTACAATTACAGTTTGTTAAATTATATTTAAATTGTATTTTAATCATTTAATTCTTGACAATTAAATGTATAAAATGTTGCATTTAAAAGGAAGCATAATGTGTGGGTGTGTGTCTGTCAGGATGTCTGTTTGTGTAATGTTTTTCCTCATTAAATTATTAAACGATGACTCGTGTTTAATATGTTGGTATTTTTTTTAGATTTTTAGTTTTATTTTTTGTAAAATTTAAAGCAGATATGTTGTTGCTTGTGGCGCTTGGGGCGTTCTCGTTAATTGTTACTCTTTCTTTTATTTCGTTACGGCTTTAACTTGTTCTTAATGTTTGTTGTTTTCAACATAAGCACAGTTAAGGGTTATAATTAATTTTAGAGTTGTGCCTAGTCGTATATATATATATATATATATATATATGGGTTGTTGTTGTTGTTGTTGTTTGTTAACTTTAATAGTGGGGTAATAACTTGTTGTTATAGGTTTAGTATTCATATATCATAATCGTAATTGTAATTGTAATCATAATGATTGGGCGACGCCCAACTAAAAACTACTCGCCAGCCGATTTGCGGCTCCTCTTATCTCCATTCTTGCGATCCATGTTCTCAATTATTACTTTTAGTAGTTCAACTAACATTAAATATAATAATTTTTGTTTAATCCCTTTTCATTATCTCGTTAGTTGTGGCTGCTGTTATGCTGCTTTTTTTATCCGCTGTCATATAATAATATATATCTCATAATCATCACAGCCCCACATAAGGGGCTTGACATTGTAAACTGGGTTAAGGACTACACTTGGCCAATATATGTGAAAGTGAACGCGTGTTCTTGCTCATTATCAATGATCCTCCTTGGAAAATGCAAAAAATAATACAGTTGTGATAATTTTCGATGGATTTCCAAGGGTCTTGTTGCGTGTTATTTACAAACTATAAAGTATATATTATAATTGTATGCCTATGCATAGCTGCATATGTTAATGTATGATGAGGATGCTTTCTATGAATGTCGCTCCGTATGGATATAATCATAACTTAGTCGAAACACAATAAAAAATACAATATGATGCGCTTTCGCTGGTTACGGCCAAAAAAACCCCTTCTTTGAAGTGTCTAGCGAGAAGAGTGGGCAGGTCGAATAGTCTTCGGGACCAATTAGAGCACTGAGCGCAGCTTAGTGGCAATCAGATACCTTAAAAACCTATCGATCGACCAGTCCAAAATCACGCGCCGCCTGGCACACATTTCAGAAATGTAGAAAATACGTGAATAAAATTAGACGCTATGCGCCTAAGCATTAAAGATACACAAAGAGAGAGAACAAACTATGAGATGATTCGTATTGCACGTTAAAGCTGGCGGCGGCAGACTAGTAGAGGAGTGTTGAATTTGCTTTCTTGCGATTGGGAAATTACGAAGATAGCTCCTTGACCAGCCGGTATTGCACCTGGGAATACAGAGCCAAATCTGTATTTGGATTTCTAGGGTGTCTCGATTTTTAGGGAAACAAAAATGATTAGAATTCGCAGAAGTTAGTTAAAATTGTACTGAATTTACTCTAGGAAATATCCTATAAAGGATAAATATATATATATTAAATAAAAGTACAAGGGTGCCAACAGAAGTTTCTAAAAAATTTGTAAATTAGAAAAGTTCTCATTTTCAAAAATGAAATATTCACATCACTTAGTTTTCTAATTTAAAATGTTAAGGCATTTCCACGGCACCCAAGACTATATATTTTTTTAACTGCTCAAAAACCTATATTTGCACTTTTAATTACCGACATAAAAAATGTTGGAATCTCCCCCATTTGCCTATAAAAATCGACACACCCTAGAACCTTTGCATACTTTTTGTCTGGAGCCACAGATCAGCGTAACCAGCGCGCTGCTAAAACTATTGTACATACAACTAGCTGCATATATGGGGTGTGCTTGTTATGGTGTGTGTCCTATATAGAGATGTCGGGTCAGCTCGGCTCACTAGCTCAGCTCACTAGCTCACTGGTGGCACGTTGGCCTCACCACGCCGCTTGCGTTGACGCGGTGGCCGCTGTGGCGGCTATCGATGTGCTGGTCGTGCTGCTGGAGTGGGCTGTGGTGGGAGTGTAGCCGTGCAGGAGGGGCTACTGTTAGTAAACAACCGGGTGCTGTTCCACGTTCGCAGGCAGATGCTGCAGCTGAATGGCGGCGCGTGCCAGAGCACTTGGATCGCCGATCAGGGCGATGGGCGGCGGCTGTTGTTGCTGCTGCGGAGGCGGGGCCTGGGGATGACCCTGCTGTTGCTGTTGGTGATGCTGCTGCTGTTGCTGCTGCTGGTGTTGTTGCTGCTGCTGTTGCTGGCGGTGCTGCTCCTGTTGATGATGGTGCGCCGCCTGCTGGATGGACAACTGCAGCAGTTGCTGCTGCTGCTGTAACTGCTGTTGCTGCTGCTGATGGGCGGCCACCGCAGCCTGCTGCTGATGCTGGGCGGCCACTTGCTGCTGGTGTTGCTGGTGGGCGGCCGCCGCTTGTTGCTGGGCTGCCTGCTGCTGGGCGGCAGCTGCTGCCGCGGCCTGTTGCTGCGCAGCTGCTGCGGCCGCTGCTTGCTGCTTCTGCGACTGCTGCTGGGCAGCCGCGTTATGCGAGATGAGGGTGGAGGTCACCAGGGGCACCAGGCCCGGTGTTAACTGCACTGCACCGGCTCCACCCGCCGCTCCCGCCGTGATCTGCTGGATGGTGTGCATCGTGGTGGTCGCCGAGTGGTGGGGAACTGAAACGGTAGGAGGACCGGATAAGTTGGGCGACTTGGGCACGGGGAGACTCGCTTGCGCTAGCGCAGTCGTGTTTGCCGACTCACTTATGATCGGTTTCACTTCCTGCTTGACTTGCGTCAGCACACCAGCCGGTATTTGCGGATGCGGATGCACGGGTGGTGGCGGCATCATAGCATCCGGGTGATTCATCTTCATGTGGCGCTTCAAATTGCCGCGCTCGACGAACGCCTTGCTGCACAGAGTGCACGCGTGCGGTTTCTCGCCCGAATGGGAGCGCATGTGCGAGACCAAGTGACCTGCGAAACGGACAATGGAAGCGACATGAAGATCTGATCGTCGGGGATCTCGAATTTCGAAAACGGCTCGGGTAAGTTTTGGGGGATCGCTCTCACAGTCGCTGTCTGCATTCAAATTAGCTTTAAGGGGTTTCGTCTGGTCAGAAATCTTAAAGTACTTTACAATTTGTAATTGAATTATATGGAAAACCTGACGGTTTTTTAAATGTTTGATTTTTAGGTCTACTCAAAATTACAAAATCTGTCAGCCTTGTGTAAGGACTAACTTTTTCAATTAAAAATTAGTATTGTTCATAAGATAGATATTAAGTGTTTAATTTCGATGTAGGATTAGTTTTATTCTCAATGCACCTACAAGATTGTCAAATTTGTTTAGATCTGCTTTGGATTTCACTTTCGACTGTTAAATATAAGAGTTTTAAAAGGCTATTAGTATTGAAGTAATTGTAACAAATAAGAATCGAAAATAATTTCCGCAAGTACTAACCACAGCAGATGTAAACCATTTGAAAAAATTAATAACAAATATTAGGTTTCTGACTAGACGTGACACCCAAATCAACGCATGGAAGCCGTGAGAACAATCCCCACAACAGCAACTGGTGGGCAGGACGGGATCGGGCTCGGGGTTTTTGGTTTGCGACTGTGCCTGTAGCTGGAGCTGGGGCTGGGACACTATGCTGACGCCACGCCACGCGTGCCTCCACTGGATGCATGCAACGCACAGCAGCAATCATAGAGCGCACTCACCTTTGCAGATAAAGTTCTTGGGGCACTTCTCGCAGGCGAAGGGCCGCTCCATCTCCTGGCCCTTGGTGTGGCTGCGCTGGTGGAAGAGCAGGTTGCCCTTGAGCGGGAACGACTTGCCGCACGTCTCGCAGGTAAAGGGCCGGTCGCCGGTGTGGCACCGCGACATGTGGTTGATCAGGTGCTCCTTGCGCGTGAACGGCTTGTTGCAGACGTTGCAGCAGTGCGGATTGTCGCTCGAGTGCTGGCGCATGTGGTTGTTGAGGTGCTCCTTCCGCGTAAACGTCTTCTGGCAGTACTCGCACTTGTGGGGCGAGTCGCCCGTGTGGAGGCGCACATGGTTCGTCAGGTGCTCCTTCCGCGTAAACGTCTTCTTGCAATAGGAGCAGCGGTGCGGGGAGTCGCCCGTGTGCTGGCGCACATGGTTCGTCAGGTGCTCCTTGCGCGTGAACGTCTTAGTGCAGTACGTGCACTTGTGCGGCGACTCGCCTGTATGTTGCCGTACATGATTAACCATGTGATCTTTGCGCGTGAACGCTTTCGTGCAGTACGTGCACTTGAACGGTGTCTCACCCGTGTGCTGGCGTATGTGGTTGACCAGGTGCTCCTTGCGCGTGAACGTCTTCATGCAGTAGGAGCAGCGGTGTGGCGACTCTCCCGTGTGCTGGCGCACGTGGTTTAGCAAGTGCTCCTTGCGCGTAAACGTCTTGGAGCAGAAGTCGCACCGGTGCGGCGTCTCGCCTGCTTGCGTGGCAAATGTGTGTGTGTCGCGCGGATGGGACGAGAAAACATTTAGAGATTAGTAATCATCGCCACGGAACAGGGGGCGGTCATGGTATGGGCTAGCTGGATGCGGGTCACTGGACACCTGGCGTGGCTTTTGTTTTTTGGTTGCATCTCCTCTAGTCAACTGGTTCATGGTCTCTGCGATCGATAATTACTAGCAAAAATGGGATTTCCCACGTCTATATAATCATGTGACCTGAGACATTTATTTTAATTATTTGAAAATATTCTAAGACAAATAATTTTATAGTAATGTGGAGCCTATTTATCAACCACGTAATTTCCAAAACTACCTTTAATTGTGCATGAGCATGGTTCATAAAGTGAATTAATCTGAAAGGGATTAAGTCTAATCATAACCAATAACAATGTTAAGTACAGCTCTGTAAAGATTATTATTAATAGACTACTACTTTAACAAAAACAATGTATTCTGAATCGACTGCATGTCCCATGAACAATCAATATAATTTCTGATACCGTAGAATTAGTTGCAGCCCAATCTAGTGCATAAAAGGAAGTAAGCTGATAATAAGAATATAATCAAATGCCAGGTGCAACTAGATTTCCCCCAATCCTAGCGAGAGTTCGTTATCGCTGCTCTTGCACCAAATGCGCCGCCAAGTGTCTGTGTATTCAAGGTATTTCATGTGTTGTGGACTGTAGCTGGAGGAACCATTAGCGGGGATCTGGAGCGGGTTCAGGGATCGTGCTTACGATTCGTTTTGTCTCTTTACCTGTATGCCAGAGTATGTGATTGGTGAAGTGCTCCTTGCGGCTAAAGCTCTTGCCGCAGATCTCGCAACGGAACGGCGTCTCGTTGGTGTGGGAGCGCATATGGTTGGCTAGGTGCTCCTTGCGCGTGTATTTCTTGCCGCAGACATCGCACTGGTGCGGCGTTTGACCTGAATTTTTGGGGAGAGGGTAGCAGAACAGAACGGAATTGTTGTATATAGGGAATGGCGTTTGATCTCGTTCGACAAGACAAAATCGCATTCGCATTAGCGCAAGCATTTTCTTTTTTCTCGTAGCTCGAATATGCGGCTATTTCCCCAAAAGGATCAATGTGAAGAGTTTGGAGAAATAGTGGCAAATCGGAGAAAAAACAAAATTTCAGATCCCCCGACCCATCCGCGCGCACCGCTCAGTGTTTTTTTGGTGGTGGTGGTTGGGTGGCTGCGTGGGTGGGTGGGTTTTGTATTTAAATCTTTCTTTCTTTTTTTTATTTTTTTTTTTTTGCTGTTTGGTGTGAAACTGGCCGTGGCTTGCGTTGTTGTGGTTTCGAACGAACGAAGCGAACGGAGGCTGCTGGCTCGGGCATATGGACGTGGGCGTGGTGGTGGTGTCAGATGTGGTGTGGATTGTATGTGGTGTGGATGTTCATTGGATGTGTGTTTTGTTTTGTGTGTGCCTGTCAACTCTGCTTCTACTCAATGCTGGTCTTCAGGATGCTTTTATTTTTTTTTTGCGTGGAACGTGCAGTCCCGGAAGAAAGTTTCGCCAAAGAGATAAAGATACAGATAGATCCCTACATAGCAGATAATTATGCAGGTGAGCTGGGATGTGTGTGTGTCTTGTGTTGTGTGTGTTCCAATTGCTTTGTGTGATTGAGTGTTAAATGTCGCAGTTACACAGAGACGTTGGCAATCGACAAGCAGCAACAACGAACTTTTCATTACTTTCTTGACTTTTCTTTGCTTTGGGCACCCTGTTTGACAGCAGAGAGAGCGTAGACAAAGTTACACAGGCATTAAATATCGAATCGATCGGGAATGAAGGATTGGACATGGACTTGGAATAGTGGAGTGGAGCGAGCACTGGATGAAGTGTTTGGATTGGTGGTGCATGTGAGCATGATTCAGATTTGGTGAAGCTGGGGATGTGTGATGCAGAGATCATGGTGGGGGGGAAATGGAGCGGTATGAGCGAGTGAGCGTGTTTTCTTTTGATTTTGTAGCGGGATTAGGCGCGGAGCGTTCTCCAAATCTCTGGAGATTTGCTCGCTTAAAGCGTTAGTTGACACAGAGAAAAAACCAGAACAATATTAGCATTATGTCATTTTAAAACATCAGAGTGTCCCTATTATAAATATATCCTTGCTTTGATACATAAGTAAATACTATTAATACAATGTTTAATTCAGCTTAAACAAAAATAGTGCCAAAAAAAATGTATTTCAGGTTCAAACCATTTTAAAAACTGTAAATTCATTTCATGTTAATATGGTAAGAAAATTATGTTTCAGACATTCGTTAATGTTTTAAATGGAATAAATTTCAATTATTACGAGTAGCATGTGAAGTGATTCTATTAATTTTGACATTCGAACTATAATTTCGAGTTCCCAGACAAATGAGATAATTTTTTGACAAGGACAGGTACCAATTAAAGGTAATATTTTTTCTCTCTGTGTGAGTACAGTGGGTGGGGCTATGGGAGTTTGCGGGTAGAAGAAGCACAAGCGATGAGCGAGATAGAAGAGTATGAGAGAGTGGGAGGAAGAAGACGTAGGACGCACGATGAAGTATATATATTTTTTTGCGGTGCTTGTTGTCAATTCTTTTTGATTTGTTTGGTTTGGTTGGTTGAATTTTTGATTTGGTTCTTGGTTGGTGTGATGTGGTGATGGCTGTTGTTGTTCTTGTACTCTATTGGATTGAATTTGGTCTGACTGGAGTTGGTCTTGGAGTTTTTGGTTTTTTTTTGGTTCTGAGAGATTCTGATCTGTCTTTTTGTTTGGCGCTCGCCGCTCGCATTGTCCGCCCCCACCAATCAATCACACTCACCAGTGTGCCACATGTAGTGGTTAACATAGTGTTCCTTGCGCGTAAAGGACTTCTTACAAATATCGCAACGATGTGGCGTCTCACCCGTGTGTTTGCGCACATGGTTGACCATGTGCTCCTTGCGCGTGAACGTCTTGGCGCAGTACTGGCAACGGAAGGGCGTTTCGCCCGTGTGCGAGCGGAAGTGATTGTCCAGATGCTCTTTGCGGGCAAAGGTCTTTTGGCAAATGGTGCAGGCGAACGGTTTGTCCGTCGAGTGCCGTTTCATGTGCCGCTCCAGGCTCGTATTGTTCGCGAACACATTGAAGCACACGATGCAGGTGAACATGGGCCCGCCAATGTGGATCTTGCCATGGCGCGTCAGATCCTGCGACGTGGTGAACCCCTGGCCGCACACCTGGCACATGAACGGCTTCCGTTCGCTGTGGTAGCGCCTGTGCACGATCAGCTGGTACCGGAACTGGAACATCTTGCCGCAGATGTCGCAGACGTGCGTCCCCGTCGCAATGGGCGTCCCGTCCGGCGCCAGCGCCACGTTCTGCCCGCCGCCGCCATTGCCGCTGCCGTCCACGCCATGAATGCCGCCCTCCATTTTAGGCAAAAGCAACTCACCCGCCGTGGTCGTGGTGCCCCCACTGGTGGTGCTCCCGCCGCTGCTCGTCGAGCTGCTGGTCGTCGTCACCGTCACCTGCTGGCCCCCATTGCCGCTAGTGGCCGGCGGTAGTCCTCCCACGCCCGCCGCCGAGGCGGCTGCCGCCGCGGCCGCTGCCGCATTCGCTGAGGCCATTACCGCTGCCACGGCGGCGTTGTTGGTGGACGCTGCTGCTGCGGCTGCCGCCGCACTCGCCGCATGACTGGTGACCTGCGGCGGCAGCGGCGGAGGTGGTGGCAGCTGACCTCCGTGGGCCGCCGCCAACTGATGGTTGACCACATCGCCGTGGATCTTGCCAAAGACCTCGTGGTAGGTGAAGAGCTGCGAAATGTCCTCGATGTTCACCTTGTACATTTCAATGCCGTGCGGTGGCTTGCCATCCTCTTTGTGTTCCGATTTGGGGAGGTGCGGTGGGCCGCCCAAGGTGATCGTCGTCCCACCAGTGGTCACTACAGGGGCTACAACCGATGGCACCGAGCTAGCAGCGCTCACGTGCTGCATTCTTGTGTCCAGATCCGGGCGATCGTTGTGGCGTTGCTTGTTCCCTGAATTCTATATCTTAATAATGTTGTTGTGTTGTATTGGGAATTATTGGTTTGTTGTTGGGGGTTGTTGTTGTAGTTGTTGTTGCTGCTGTTCTTGGTTGTATTTCATGTGTTGCTGTGGAGCGCCTACATATTGCTGTTGTTGCTGCTGTCGACTGCTTTCGCTGAGCGTGGCTACAACAAACAAAAAATGCAAGTGGAAGGTGGAGGTGGTGTCACTTAATCTCTGGCTGCTTAGGTATTTTTCTTGGTCTTTTTTCGACGCTGACGGGGGACAATTACCATGAAATTGCTGCTGTTGTTGCTCCTGTGGGGGTGGTGTTGCTACTGTAACAGTTGATCCGTGTGAGTGTGTGATTGGCGCACAGCCAATTTTCTTTCGTTCACCTGAAAATGGATAAAATATATGGAAATCAAATCTATTGGATTAAGAAGTTTTTAGAATCCTCAGTTGTGTGAAATTATTGATGAATCGATAATAGATGATAGTTTTAGGCATATCTTAAAGAATTCAATTTTTGTATTGGCTAACCTTTTTCATCAGGACATTCTTATTAGAAACTTCAACTTTTGATCACTTGATTTTATCTTTTGGGACAAAGCGCGAAAACCTGGCAGTAAATAAAAAAAATTGCATTTTCTTTTAAGACTTTCTCTTGTCTCTTCTAAAAGATGGTTTCATGTAAAGTAACTACAGTTTAAATAAACTCAAAGTTATATTAAGAGTTCATAGACAACCTATTCATAAAGACAGATAAAATTTATGACAATCGGGTTTATTTAAAATAAAAAAACCATTTGGTTTCATTTTGAAGCTACGCAAATTTTTAATTTGGGCTTAACGATCTTGTGACAGCTTTAAGACATAGCCGACTGATTTTTATCAAAGCTGAAACAATCCAAATGCAAATGCTAGAATTTTTCAAAATATGCTGCATACCTTAGGGCGTTTGCCAGTACAAAAGCAAGAAGTCCTTAATCTGTTATCCTCTGATACTCTGCCCGATAATCGGATAAACGGTAACACACGGCAGGGGTGTAGTTCTCACGGCATGTTGAAAGGATTCTGCTGATGAAGGACATAAAGGATTTGCAGCGCTATGTGCGACCATTAACCCTTTAACAATGAGAAATGCGAATGTCATCTGCATGTGTGTACATGCATTATACAAGTACAGTTGAGCCCTTACACACACACACTCGAAAACAATCATCACACCCAGGACTAATTCTTGTAAAAGATGTTGGTCAGCTCTTCGTTTTATTGATTTTGCTGCTGGGCATTAAAAGTGATATAAATTGCCCATTAGCGGACCGCAGGACCCACACCAACACACACCCATTTCGCTATGTCTTCATCAGGAGAAGAAGAAGAGTCAGAAGCAGTGTAAGCACAATGAAATAACTTTATATAAATTGTAAATGGCAAAAGGCAGGAAAACGAATGACAAGAGACACAAAAAAGGGAGTGGAGCTGGGATTTTGAAGCTGGTAAACTAAGGGAGGGGTAGGATCCAGGATTTAGATATCCAATCAGAGTATGCAAGCAGGAGAGAGGGAGAAAGAGAGAGCGCAACGAGAGATGGAATAGAGTGGGGGGAAAGGGGAGTGATGTAAATATCAAGAAGTACAAATCGATTAAAGACAACGCATAAGTGTGTGCGTGTGTTGGAAAAACCGAGCTGCGAATTAAAGATGGATGAGAGAATAAGAGAAAGGGGAAGAGAGTAAAGGCGCGCGCATGAGCGGAAGAGGAGGGGAGTGTTTGCATAGGTCCTGGTTTTGTCCTTTTTTGCTAAGCGCTTTACAGTTACAGCTTACAGGCTAAGGAAAAGGGGGCAGAGAAGAGGGCTCTCTCACACTCTCTTGTTTTTCTGGAGCAAATAATTCAGCAAACATCGAGAAGAGCGCAGAACGGGAGAAAGGACACCAAAAAAGGGCGCCACTTTTAATGTGGTGAGGTAGGAAAATAGAATAGGATATGTGTGTGCAAATACATACGTCTTCTACACGCATACGTGTGTGTGCAATCGCCAAGCCCGGGCAAAAAAAAAAGTGGGCGGGTTTCTGGCATGTAAAGTGCTGATGAAGCCAAGCACAAAACACAAGACAAATGGCCCAATCTGCAAACGGGGTGGACCTCCCATCCTCCTCCTATTAAGTAACTGTAACTCAAGCATCGCTATAAAACGAATTAATCGAGTGCAAACCGCAAACACGGGTCAAAAACCTTAACTGGTTAACTGATCAAATTTACATTTCTATGTTCTGGGCAAGAAAAATAATATTTCAACAATTACATCGATGAAACTTGGATTTGGGAACATCATTATGGAAGTTTCGCCTATCCAAAATTATAAACAAGCAGGAAAGTTTTAAAATTACTTTAAAAAATTATGCTAACCTAATCGCAAACCTATAGCTTTCAGAACAAATTACGAACTTTTGATTTTCGCAAATTCGGTGAGCTTACGAAAAAAATTAGGATTTTGGTTTTAATACAAAAAAATAATGTTTTCTTAGAAGCTTTTTAACATTTGGGAAACATTAAATATTTTAACAATAAACGGAAAAAAAAATGATTTACTTAAAAAATATTAAGACTTAACATCAAAGTGCGTAATTTCAGATTTTTGAAATCGAAGACCAAACAGTAGTTTCCAAATTAGAAACACCCTTTTTACAGAAAGGATTATAAATTTCGTAAACACAGTTTTTGACCAAAAACAATAGGACATATGGCACAATAAAATATTTCGTAATGATTGGGGTTGAATAACCCCTTTGGGTGGTGAGCGACAAAATCACCCTGTATTTTGATATGAAAGCAATTGAAATCACTTACCTCATGTGGTTCTCTTTTTGGCCCGATTCAGCCAATTTCTGGGGGGCTCGCCAGGAGCGGACTTAAAGTATATTTATATGGATATATGGACGTTCCTTTGGGGCCACCTGCAAGCAGAAATGAGAAAGGGGACATGGCAACAATAATAACCAGTGAGCAACAGTTTGTTTGCGGTGTTTATGTTTACGCGAAATACGAAATATACGAACGGCCCGCGGTACAGTCTTCCCCTTTTCCTTTTCCCTTGCTTCCAGTTTCAGATTCAGTTTTAGTTTTGGTTCCACTTCCACGCACACACACTCATGCATTGTGGATGTGGGAAGCAAATCAAGCGAAAATTTATTTGCAGCCAATATATGCAAAAGTCACAAACACATCTGAACCAAAGCTGCGTCTGCGTGGAAAGAAGAGCAAAAATATTCTAACTCTAATTGGAAAGGCAAAGGGAATGGGATTGTGAACTGGAAGGGGCGGGGGCATTGCAAATTTTACATTTCCAACTATTCCCCCTTCGTAGCGGTGCTAACAAATCAAATTAATTGTATCTATATCTAGAAGAGCTGTATGTGCGTGCATCTCTGCCAGTCTTTTCTGCTGTTTTTTTTCTAGATTCTAGACGGGGGGCTCTTCTGCTTCTGCCGCTCCTCTTTCTCTCCCTGTCTTTGCTTTGCTTTTGGCTGCCAGCAGGGAAAAAAGTTGTATCTTTCTTGCTATTCCACCTCCTCCTCTTCGTTCCCTTATCCATTGCTTTTCGTGCACTTTTGTACACGGCTTTGCTTTTTTTTGTTCTCTTCCTCTCTCTCTCCTGCTCTCTTTGCCATACATTGTCTCTCATTATTCATTGAACCCCACCCCCCTCGCCGACCAACAACAACGTTTTGCACGAACGACGCTACGTACAATTCCCAGCCGCCTAAAGCGGAAAACCAATAAAAACGAATTGAATCGCAAAGCGTAAGTACAAAATAAAGCGAGGCGAGACAAAAAATGAAAGCTGAGAGAGCAGCAAAGAGCGAGAGAGAAACGAGTACAGGCGGCGCGTCGATACAAGTTTTGCTTTTTGGCTCCCATTCTATATGCCGAGATCCGAAACTCGAGTTATAGTTATAATTATTGCCGCTGCCGCCGCTTTTTTATTTTTAATTTTGTTTGGCTGTCGCTCAAATTTCGAGCGAGAGAGCGGCAAATGGAAAAGCAGAGAAGGAGAAGGTGGATCGAGCTGGAGAGTCACATTTTCATTACAGCCAATTAGTGTCCATTTCATAATTGTTAAACAAAACCCACACAGGCACACAATAGGAAAAGGCTAAGGAATCGTGAGTTTGGTTCCAACATATGGCGGCGAAAAGTGCCAATTTAAGAGAGTTACCGATCGCCTATAGTGCTATAATGTTAATAAATTTCTCAAAAATGCAACCCTGCGTCGCCCCTTCTCTCTCCAACTTGCAAGAATGACACGATGATGACGTTAATGGGAACTCTGTGGCTGTGGATGTGCGCAGCTCACAGACACTCTCACACACCAATACACTGGTAGCAAAGTCGACCGCAAAGTCATTTGATTAATATTTCTCGCATTCTTTTTTGCCTGCGAATTTCACAAATAAACACAATTGTTTCCAATCAGCCCCTCTGCCGAACCTTTCCCCTTCCCCCACACTGCAGTTTTACAAGCTTTAAAAAGTACGGTTGTTCTTATGACGCCAGTATATGAAAATTACTTGATATTGCAATGGTGGTGGTGGCGGGCACACTCTCCCGTCTGTGTGTGTGTGTGTGCAACAGTAGTGGCAATCAGAATCGAAACGCCGCGCGGGTGAGAGGCGGTGGTGAACGGCGAACAGAGCAAAGCAAACTGAAAACTGAATGAGACGCGGAGGCAGCAGAAGGCGAGCAGGCAAAGGCGACCGATGTAAAGTTCTTCGTTTCGTGCGGCGCGTTCGGTTCGGGCGGCAGCCGAAACGAAAGCACAAAAGTCCGGCGGGAGAGGAAGAGAGCCAGTGCAGCCGGTTTGGCGAGAGGATCCAGCGGTTCTGTTCATTTAAAGTTTAAAACAACTTTGTTTGATCATCTAAGAAGCACCAGTATTTCTAATATCAAAACAAAAAACATTGTTTCTTAAAGGTCCTTGATTAAGATTTGATTAGGACATTTACACAAAGCTTGAATGAATCACACACTTTTTAAAACCATTTAACAGAAAACTTGTGGACTTTTTATAGTTTAAAAGATTCTGTGTAAACAGCTAGTTTAAAATAGCTCAAAATTGTTTTTTGCCATTATCCTTCCTCATAGACACGCATAATTGGTAAAAGGCAATAATGCCAACTCTCGCTTATGCCTTTAATTTAATTTAATTAACAAAACGACAAAATATAACACGGTACTATTAGAGTTACAGGTTTGCTTTATTTGTATAAGCTCTGAACTACATTTTTATACCCTTGCAGAGAGTATTATAATTTTAGTGAAAATTATTATAATTTTAGTGAAAAGTTTGCAACGCCATGAAGGAGACATTTCCGACCCTATAAGGTATATATAAATCCCTTTTTTTTAACTAGCAGTCATTGTATCGTCTTATTATCCTTTGGCGGCCAGTTAGGACAAATACAATCTCAAAAGAAAATAATTTTTGTAAGCAAGCATTTTATTTCATTTCCTTCGTCGAGTGATTTTTATTAATAAGATTTATTACTTCAATACTATCTTCCTTTTTTAAAAAATTTCGATTGACAATGGTATGTTATAACTTGTGTAATAGCTCTTTGTGCACCTGCATTTTACCAAGAAAGCAATACCACACAATCTAGTTAAGGATAGGCAAAATGCTATAAAACAGCTAAATAGGCAGTGCTGGTAAGAGGTGTGGAGGCAGCGAGAGAGCGAACACGAGAGACACCGCAAGATACAGATACAATGCGTGCTAGAGCCTGCATATGTGTGTGTGCGATTGCGTTGTTCTTATTAACGATTCGCTGTCTTTCCTTTTCTCCCTCTCCCCCTCTCTAGTGTTACTTTTTCGGGGCTTGGGCACAAAAAGGCGGCAAAATGGTTAAGCACACAAATTCGACCGGGTCCAACTGGACAATTTGAATGTAGACTATAAGATTCGCCAAATCCAATTGCACTTACCAGTATCTGAGTTTGTTTTATCCACAGTACAGACGGGCAGCTAAGCTACCACTCCTTTTTCTGGTTGCAGCAGCGTCCCTCGACAGACGCGATTCCCGAATTGGTTATTGGCGATCTAAGTTATCCCTCCCGATCTTAATTATCACTGCCAACTGGTCACTAACGGCATTGCGCGCACTGTACACTTATATTTGGCTTATTAATTAGTTCGGTGTCTTTATTTCCTTAACATTTAACGCGAATCCATAGATTGTGGTTTTAGTTGCGGGCGGAAGAGCAAGAGGAGCAGTGTGACCGGCTTTGGAAAACATACTGAAATACACCTATTAACTTTCAAAAATACCTGACAAACTAAAAATACCTTAAATAGGGATGGACACTGTGACGATAGTTTTGAGGCAGGATTTTGTTGCCTTCTTTTTATTACTTATAATTATTTTTCATTTTTAAGATCAAGCGCAATGTTTATAAACCTTTCTATAATTAACAGATTTTAATTAAAACTTACATAAAAAAAACATCGTTATGATTGGTAAACTTAAAATTTTATGTAATTTTTAATTTTTTACTAAGAAATAATAGAAATTGAGGCGACGTGATTGCATGTACTTAAAACATTACTTTAGTACATTTCTGTAAATAAACTTTTGAAAAAAAAAGGTTTAAGTGTCTTGCAACTGAGAAAATAGATAAAATCTCCGTTTATGTTGTGTCTTTACATCATTGTGATATGATTTGCCTTCAAAATCACAATAAAATTAATTGATTTTCAAAACTATTTTGAATTTCAACAAGAAAGGAAGCTACTTAAACATTTTTAGAAAAAAACGAGTTCGAAAGCTAACTACGAAAAGCTATGATTTTAAAATCTGTACAATCTGTAAAATCGCACATTAACTTTACATAAGAGTTTTCAGTCAGTTTAACTTTAACGTGATTTTGAAAAAATTATTTTTCAGGAAAAAGTTCAATTTTTGTTGCGTTGTGTATTGTATACTAGGTTTCCGATCACAATACTACGGTGTGGTTAAATATATAGCACATTTCCCATTTAATGGCACATGTATAGAAAAATTGAAATATATAATATTTTATTTTGCCTTAATAAGTTTTGTATTTATTATTCTACTGAATATATATTTGGCATTTCATAGTTATAAAATTCCGATTGACTTTGCGGGAATTCATCAAAACCAAAAGTTCAAATACATGGAAAACTCTTTTTCTTTGATTTGCTTTTATTTAGCTTTATCGTAAAATAAATTACAAAATAAAATACATTTTGCATATAATTCGTATCCTTATATGTCTAGTACATTAATTTACTCACAAATCTTTTGGGTTAATATTGCGCTGTGCTCTTTCTTGCTCATCTTCTGTTTGTTTTCTAATGCTAAAAACCAAAAAACAAATCAACCTGCCGCAGGCCGCGCCCCTTCATTTGTGCCTTAAGCCTGATGCGGGGAAGCCGAATATTGTTCATCGTATAAAGCTAAATGGAAACTATAAGAATCACACGAAATCATATTAAGATATTAGAATTGGGCAAAGTAAACAAATTAAATTCGTAACAAATGTACAGGGAAATGTTCTGGGCGCGGACGCTAAGTAAATGACGATTTCTCAGCCGAGGCCAACCGTTGAGATTAAATTGATTGGATGCCAGCAGGGTGGCCGAGTCCATTACAATATTTAAGCCTTTTTACAAACAATTCATTACTGTTTCTGTGATTTTTCGTTTGGCAATTGGTTACGCGTTGCTGTAGTACTTCTGTATCTCTGTTAAAATCCTCCAAATCCTTGACTGCATCGGTAGTTTCGCTTACAAGAATATACATCGTTCGCATGTATATGTAAAAAGTGGTCCTTAATTCGAGACGTGTGGTTAAAACGTTTTTGTGTATATATAAGAGTGTGATTCTGCACATACTATGTGTGGGCGTGGGTGTTCCTTTAGAGTGCTGGCTAAAAACCCTCCCGCAAAGTTTATTCAACCGGGTGGCCTACGAAATTAATCCGAATTATAGGGGAGCTACGGTTCTCAAGTTACGATCGATCGGACTACGGACTACCTACAGAATACAGATTTCTTGACTCATTGCTGCTGATGGTTGTTCTGTTTTAGTAAGCTAATATAAATCACGATAGTATGGCCACGCTGCGTCGCGGCCCGCCCTGGCTGATGTTGTCCATGGAGGACCACTTCTTGATCCCGTTCTTCAGCGCCTCGGCGGTGACCTTGTCCTGCATCACCCGCGACATGGCCTCCAGCTTCTGGGCCCGCTCCTTGGACAGCGGCTCCGTGGGGAAGTTGAGCTCGTTGGCCTCGGCTAGCGTCCGCAGGTCGAAGTAGTATTTGGCGTACACCGAGGACGGCACGTTGATGTTGAACTGCAGCAGCTCGAGGAACTGCCGCTCCAACTCGTTCATGTCCTCCACGGTGATGTCTTTGAGTATCTGGCAGTAATCCACATTCCAAACGGCCTGGTCGTCCCACACTTTCGAGGCGAGCAGTATTGCACCTGCAAAAAAATCAGCCACATAGTTTAGATATTTGTTGATAATTTAACAAATTCTGATGGATTAAAGCAATGTATGCATTTTTTGTAGGACTAAAAACTATGATTTTATCAAAGAATTTAAAAAATAGGCATTTTTGACATTATTGTTGAAAGACAAAGTTAAGTCTTCGCTTTTAACAAAAAAGAAAGGCCATGTATTAAAACAGAAAATTGATATGTTATATTTTAGTATATTTCAAAGTAAAGTTATTTTGAGTCCGTTTAAAAATTAAACGTTAATCCTGAATGCAACAGATTTTTATCTTTCAATGGTATGTACCGAATAAGTTTTGTTTAGATTGACTTGAAAAGTAAAGATGGTAAAGTAGGTATTTAATTTCTGCTTGGAGCATTTGAAAAGCTCGCACAAAGTGGGCCAGCTAGATAACTCACTAGTGCAGCTGCATCGATCTCTACCATATCTAAACCGCACTCACCCAACACCATTCGCTTCCAGTTGCAGGGACCCACGTCGAGCTCGGCGTAGGTAAGCAGCCGCTCCAGGTAGACTAGCGTGATGATCGCACACTCGGCCGTCAGCTGGGCAGCGTTGAAGAGCGTGCGCACGAACTTGTAGATCTGCCGGTGCTCCGGGTTGTGCGTGTCGTAGTTCTCCGGTACCTGGTCGTGGGTCAGAGGGTGCAGTTTCTCATCGAAGATGTCCAGTCGCCGGTCCGACTGCCGGTTCTTGATGTGATAGTAAATGGCCAGCGATACGCACTTGACCGTGTTCTTCAGATTCGGCTGCGACACGGTGCTGTCGTCCAGATAAATAGTCGAGCAGGAGGAGCTCTTCTTCATGCCGCCGCCTCCGCCGCAACTATTTCCGCCGGGAGTGCTGCCTCCTCCTCCGCTTCCCACCTGCTGGGCGATCTGCTGCTGCGAACGCTTGCGTGTCATGCCGCCGTTCTCCACCTTGGATCGCTCCAGGAACATGGTGGCCGCCGTGGGGTCCACCGAGGGATCCTCCTCGCCCTCCGTCGCCTCTCGCTCGGAGATGTGCTGCAGATTCTGCTGGTTCTCGAAGTTGTCGCCGCCGCCTTGCTGATTCTGCTGCTGGTGATGGCCATGGTGGTGGTGGTGCAGGTGCACCGCCGACGTGGACCCATGATGACCGTCCAGCTGGTGCTGCGACGTGTGCGGCGGATGGCTCAGCTGGTGGCGCTCCTCGAACACCGGCGGCAGGTCCTTGGACTTGCGGTCCGACTGCGGACTGGAATACGCACAGCACGAGTTCTTGTTGCCCATTTCGCCGTGGGATGGGTTGGTCGAAGCTCAATCTAAATGCAACTTGGCTTGGCACTCGCTCTCTTGACTAGCGGATGGACTCCGGATCCGGATCCTGCTCCTGGCAGTCGCTCACGCTCTGTTCTCGCTTTTGGCACTTGGTCGTCGTGCGTCTATGTCTATGGGCATGGCGCTGGCGTTTCTATCGCTCCACAATTACCGCTGCCGGGTGAGCGTTTTCTGCAAAGAAAAGATAACAATTAGCGCCGGATTCTATTCGATCTTATCTCCTATTCTGTTCTCATCCCATAGCCATAACCCATTATTATTAATTGGGGTGCTGTGGGAGTGGGTATTATAAATATAAGATTAAGTTTGTCACAGTTTTAATATGACTTGTATAGATATTTCTGATTGTATCTTGTGCACGTTATTCGTATCAAATTTGAAAGCACCACAATAAATATTCCAGAGATGTTATATCATATAACTATCATAGAAATGAGTGGCTGATATGGGTACACAAATATTTAAGATGATAAGCCCGGCACTTTACATTACGGTATGTAATATTGCTGTCATTAATTATAGTTTGTAGTTCACTAAACGGAATAAATAAGGTGTATAACCATTAAAATAATGTTTTATACATTTAAACTTTACATGGAACGCATTTCAGTTACAAGATGGGTCTGAAAACTTCTTTAGGAACACTTAGGTTGTTATACTTTTTTAATATTCATGTATACTTTTATCGTATTTTTAATGTACATAATAGGGAAAGGCAGATGTAGATATGAAATGATAGTAGTGTTGTTGTTTTTAAAGATAATGGAGTAAAATCAGTCACATGACAACAAAATATTCCACTCCAGTTTGGCACTTTAGCAAGACTATATCATTTAAATGGAATCTTTTTCCGGAAGGGTAGTTCTGGTTTCGACTTGGGAGCCTTGATATCTTCACTATCTCTCGTTTATTTGCTCTGTTTATAGACGGAATCGTTTTGGCTTAGAGGCCGGCCAGATTGTTGTGCAAAAAATTAATTAACCCCAGGCACGAAGTGGGCCGCAAGTTGCCTAATTTGGCGAGGTCTTTGTGTTATTTTCTTATGTTTTGTGGGGGGAGCACGCATACGAATACGCTTTTGGGAGGGGCGGGGCAGCAGCGCGACTTGTGACTCCGTTTGCGGGGCTGTTGGATGAATTGTCACCGCCTGATGGACTGATGGCCCAGATCCAGATTGCCGTATCACCGTCGAAAGTCGGAGCGTTTTTCCCCGCACATTAATCATGGAATGAATGAATGAATGAATGGAGCGCCGTCGACGCAGGCAGCGCTGCTCGGCCTCTGCCCGGAGAAACACCCACGAACGGCAAATAAATTCCACTAATCCGACATTGGGCATCTATAATAGTCTCACTCCGATCAGACGAAGTCCGCCTGCTGGGCGGTTAGTTTATCCGCCTATTTTCACACATCTTAATTGTTTTTCTCGCATTTTTAGTTTAATTACCTGCTCGAAAATGAAATGTATCGTATTTTATAAATATCGATATAAACGACAGTGTGGCTGCAGCTAGTTAGTGTGAATTTACCATCCGGCTTAAAAACAAATACTGAAAATGTATATAAACGAGTTAAGGGTACTCCTTCCCAATATTTGGGGTATTGCTTAAAACTTTCAGTAGGACATGAACAAGTTAAAAAAAAACTAACTAACTAATTTAATAGCATAGACAGAGCTGCATCCCAAAAAAACTGATGGAATTTTTGATAGCTGGGAAACTAGTACTTCCATCGACGAAAAACAGACAGCAACAGTTAACAGTGTCGTACGCACTGTCAAATTGTTTAAAAAGTACTTTATCAATGCACTATCATATATAACTGATATATGTTTGCCACGCCATTCTTTCAAAGATTTGGTGTTTCACGTCTGTCAAAAATCCCATCCGTTTCACTGGTCTGTGCTCTGTGACAATTTCTCTCTGCTATACAAATATACTGAAAGTATTCGATAAATATACTATAGCAATCGGCGGAGCAGGCATTTCAGTATTTCGACATTGTGGCAACCCTAATTTGAAATGGAAATGGGATTTTGAAATAAAAAATTAAAAAGAATAAATAAGGGGTTATACAAATAAAATGTTGTGAATATCTCACTGAGATCGAAGAATAAAGTGAATGTTAAAACTGAATCATTTATTTTCATAAAAGCAAGCCTTGTAAGAAAACTTCCCCCAATTAGGTTTAATAAGAATTTTATTAGTATATTAAAAGTCATATGGTGTTATTATAGTTTACTTGAAAGTATTTCGTAATAAGCATACATCTCAGCCATATTCCTTTTTTCTCAAATATTTTTAATTTGTTTACCATCGCCGTTAGTTTATGCATATTAAATGTTGAGTTTAACATAGTAGGAAAATTAAAAACGTTTCATTAGTAGGCTTTTGATTTGCGAAAACTTGTAAAGTACACAATTAGTTTGCTTATTCAATATATAAATAACAGGGCTAGAAATGAACAGATGAAACAAGGTTATTTACAGATTTCAGTAATATGCGACTTTGATTTTGGATTGGGTTTTGGGTGGTGTGAGGTGGCTATTTTATTACCATTTAGTTAGAGTGCATTTTGCTAATTTCCTACATCTTTTTGCATCCTGTGCAAGTTGTATTTACACAAAATGTATTTTTCATATTTTTATTAGGGCTTTTATGTTTAAATAGTTTATATTATTTAAATGTAATGATTGCTTTCAACTTATATACTGTATGCATGTGTGTATTCCATATTGATCCATCATCAAGGGAAATTTGAGGACTTCCAAATCCCAAAGTTTGGTCACAAATCTTTTGGAATCGAGTTCGCTCACATTGGCTGGAATTGCGATATATCCTTTGTCTTTTGTGTGTGTGTGTTTATGATACTACTAGACTACTTTTTGCTAATAACATTGAATCGTAAACCTCAAATATATCCATATGCATACGTTCGATTAGTATTTCTGTAGTTCGCTTATTATTCAACAGAGATAAATAACAACTTTGCTTTGGGTTGAAGGTCTGCAGCCTGTGTTACAGCAACTATCGCTAGGTTAATCAGGACTTTGTACAGATTTTTGAGAGAGGTCGCTATATATATACGATATATATGCGCATCGCTTTGAGCGTTCAATATTGATATACATTAACATACATGTTTGTTCAATAATATTTACTTCCACATAATAGATATTCTGGCGCTATGTTTATCCCATTAATGTTTAGGAGTAGATTATTCTGCTGTGTACGTCTGTTCTGTTTCTGCTTCTGTTTGTGTTTGTTTTTAATTTGTGGTACTGGTAGTAGACGCGGTATGCCGCCTCCCACCGCTATACACATCCGCACCACTGGTTCGTACATTTATCGACTACCTTAATAAAGCTATGATCCCAATTTCAGCTGATAATTTGGTACCTTACTGCTAAGCACTTTTACCACTGCCCTTTGACGCTGTCCCTCGCTTTCGCTGCTTTCGCTACTTTCGCTGCTTTCTCCTCATTTCCGGTTGTGTTTCGCATTTCCTGACCGGTGGTAAAGAGCAGTGGTAAATCTTAAAAGAATGGTCCCGCTATCAGACATTTTGAAAAACGTTTGAAAACATTTCAAGTTGGTTAAAGAATAGAAAACCGAAACGAAAAGAAATCAAATCCTCCTGCGACTCAAGCCCTCCTCATCCTCCGCCCACTTTCGTCCCTCGCTCGCGTATAAAAATAAATATGTTTGTAGAAACGTGACTATTATATCCTTAACAATACATACTAAATATCCTTTCGTGTAGGTAGCTATGTGCATTTGTAGAGTGGAAAGTTATAGAAATCCTTTGCCTTCGTTTTGGTTTTTGTTTTTTTTGGGAAAGTCTGTTAGGGGCTAGTAGAGAGAGATAGAGTATATACAAGTCGTACAGCTAGTTGTCAGGTATTTTTTGGTTTGGTTTTTAGTTAGGTACTTAATATCTAGACAGCTCGAGACGAGTCTGTCGTCCCTTCGCGAAAACCACTCCTAATTTGAGCAATTCGAATGCTTGGTAAATGCAAACACACAGAAATAAAGCACATAAATAATAAAGGGAAACGGTTACAAAAATATATGTATTTAATTAGAACGAAATAGCATACATCGAACTTATAGAAATCATATAATAAATTCCACATTTGACTAAAACTAATAAAAGACAAGTACAACTCAAGTCTAGGTATAAATGCTCGCAACGAACCAACAAATTCACAACAAATTTCAGTTGAACTCTTCGCTATTTACATCTAATCGCTTTTTGTCTGTTTGTATTTGTGCTTGGCCCTAATATTTCCTTATATTTTGTTTTCCGCTTGCAACAACAAAGTATACAGTATTTATACATATACATATATATATATATATCGATATTAATGTTCCGCAACTAAGCCTATATAGATGATGTACGTTAGTCTAACTCTACCACAATTCACATAGAGAGCGCATCAGAAGCGGTTTGTAATTAATATTCTAGGCTGCTTCTAAGCTTAGTAAACGTTATTCTTGGAACCGTCCCTCAGTTCCTTTCAGTGTACCAATCCGTAATCGTTCCGAAATTTCCTTCTGTATTTTGTTTTCTGTTTTTCCGTTTCCGTGCTGCTGCCGCCCGGCAGGTGGCGTCGAGGCCAGCTTAGGCGGCAGCGCCATCTGCCGGCTCCGCAGCCGCCTCAGTTTGCTCGCCATCGGCCGTTTCCGTTTCCGCCGCAGCCGGCTTGTTTTCCTCCTCTTCCGCCGCCTCTTTTGCCGCGGCTGCAGCTTCCTCCGCAGCGGTGGCCAGCGCTCGGGCCTCGGCATCTGCAAATGGAGATATTCATTAGGAATTTGTCACTCTATATAATAAATGATATATCAATATTTTAAGGAATTTAAAAGTAAAAAAAATACTTCCACTACCCAAAGAATGTTTGAGGCCAAACATTTAACACTACGAATATTAGTTCTTAGCCAAATTTAAGTTAAATTAAATATTTGTGCCAATATTTTTAGGGTAGTTCATTTCATATATTCAGTTGCACAAATATTATCTTTAGACCAACACCATCTTTTATATTTAAAAAAAGCAGATACAAATTTTGAAATCAAGGAAATTTTAGTGGGATAAAAAAACCGACTAAAAAAAGTTAAATTAAGAACAAGAAATTTTTATTTTGTTGATTTACGGAAATCGTCAGTATACTTATGTATATAAACCATTATAAATAATATCATGTTAGATAAGCTTAACATGGATATTTGCTTTAAAATTTATGATTTAATATGCCGGGATCCTCCGGAAAAATAAATTAACTTTTTAAATTAAGAAAGGAATTTTTTTTTTATAAATAATTTAAATTAAAAAATAGTCGGTAAAACTAAAAGTAGCCATACAAATTTATTGATTTTTAATTGCATATTAAATTAATTTTAACTTTTAAAGGAACGATTCGAAGAAATATTTATGAAATATTCCGTTGTTTTAAACATTTGTTTATTACTAAATGTAATAAATGTATAATAATTTGTAGTGTTTGTGCTTTGGACCAATGTGTTGTAACTGTAGATATTTTTGGGTTATTTTGGACATCTGGGATTCCTAAATCCTTAAAAAATAAATGTTCTCAACAAATTTGAACTGCTTTTCGAGGAAGTTTTTTCTATCTTTTCAGCAACATAAGGGACAGCTTACAAATCCCGTTCTTGCTTTCCAGTAACTACCCGCGAAAGCCTTTAATTGTTCATTTAAGACTTACTTTAGTTTGTAATAGGATTGAGTTTGTCTTGATATGGGAGGGGGTCTTGATTCGCCTAATGACCGCTCTTTCGGCGCCGGTCCATAAGCTCTGCGTAAGAAGGTTTATTCATGAATTATAAACGCGCATTGGCAGACGAGAGATCAAAGCGAAGGACAGGTCAAACTCAATTAGCACTGTTAATGTGACTACAAAAAGAGGCCTAGTCGGCTGGCAATTAATATGATAATCAAAGAAGCACTGCTCTTAAGGTAACGACAAATTTAATAATTTCGGGGAAGAGGAAAACATCTGTGATCTTTAGGGTTTAACAAAGTTTCTTTGAGTTGGAAACGTTTCTTAAAAGCAATGGATATCCTAAAATTTCTGGTATTTTTCGTTTTGTCGTTGCTTAATTTAACTGGAAGACCTCTTTACATTAATTAATTAATAATACATAAATTATTCTAAAAAAAAATTAAAAATAATTTTGAAAATGGTTGAGTTTAAAATATATATTAGAATGAAACATAATCGCACACTCTTTTAAATATTCAAATATTAGTTTGCGTTTTAAAAAATTATTTAAAGTTAATGAAATTTACGTATGAAATATTACGTATATATAAAAAATATATAGTTATATTTATTAACGACAATAAATAAATTTATTTCAATTTATTTTAAAATTAAATAAAATATTTAATGAAAATGATTAAATATTTTATATGGTTACTTTATAAAGGAATACTTTAAATACTTTACTGAGATAACTAACCATATTTTTTAAACTTAGGGTATAACTTTTTAGTTTCAGAAATATATTTCATAAATTCTAAATTTCAGAAATGCATTTCTTGAGCACAGAAATGTAACCTTAAAAATTGTATATTTGATTTTTGGCCAGATTTATATCGAAATTAAGTGTGAAGACCTACCTTTGACCGCCTGCTCCTTCCATATCCGCTTGTTCTCGACCAGGCAGGTGAGCCAGGGCTTGGGTATGTTGAACTTGGAGCCGGTGGAGCCGGTGGCGCTCTTGCGGGCGAGGAACTCGGCGGTGGGCTTGACTTCGGTGCGTTCGCGCGGCTTGTCCATGCTGGGTGTGATGCCGGAGGGGGGGATCACGACGGAGGAGGTGGTGGGCTCGTGCTCCACCAAAGTGGAGGGCTTGCCCTTGTTCATCGGCGCAATGGGGGCCAGGATCAGCTCCAGCATGTCGGACATGACGCCCATGCTGGGCTCCACGATGAAGTCGATGAAGCAGATCTGCGACTCGGCCACCAGCGTGTTGTTGCGATCGCACAGGGGACTGAAGGGCAGGCCCAGCTCCTTCTCGAGGTCACCCTGGCGGAAGAACTCCTCCAGCAGGAGCATCGTCCAGCGATGGTGGACTCCCCACTGCTTGGCCGGATGCGAGATGTCGCAGCAGTGGAGGACCAGCGAGAGCACCTTCTGCTTGTCAATCGTCGCCTCCTGGAGGGTCAGCAGCTGGCGCATGGCCTTCATCTGCTGGAAGTGGTTGGTCATGTCGGTGCCCAAAACCATTTCGATGACGAGGCCGCGCAGCTCGCGGAACTCCTCGCGCGACAAATGCGACAGGATGTTGCAGTCGTCCTCCCGCAGCAGCCGGAAACTGGCGCTGGCATGGTGGTTCTCCAGCACCGCCCGGTCGTTGTAGAGCAGCGCCGTCTCCGATCCGGACATCACGTGGAAGTTGTTGGTGGTGCCCGTGTGCTCGTAGTCGTGCAGCAGGGCGGCCAGCAGCGAGGCGAAGATCTCCAGGTCCGTCAGCCAGTTCATCAGGCCCGTGTTGCACAGGCAGTAGTGGATCGTCTGCATCACGTCCACCGCGTGCAGGTTGTTGTGGTACGGGTTCCGGTACCGGCAGTAGCCCTCCTCCACGCGGTGCAGGAACGCCTCCAGCGTCCCCGGCGCTATCTTGAACTTGTGGATCGACCCGTAGCGGTTGAACAGCTCGTAGGCCACGTACTTCACCACCTGCCCGCTGGTCGCCTCCGTCAGCGCGAACACGTCGAATGTCCAGTCGTCCAGGTTCTGGGGGGGAATTGGAGGAATAGTTGTTAGCGAGGTTCGGAAAAAGATCTGATAACTTTGGGACAAATTTTCTAAAGGTTACATTAAACTATCATTTCCTGTTAAGTGGGATTTACTATTTTAAAGAATTTTTATTTGAAAAGGATAAAATTATTTTTTAAAATTTTTTCTCAGTAAATGAAGAACACTTTTCCTAAAAGCCTTCAAATTTTTTTCCTTATTTGTACTATTATTTTAGTCAGGAGTTCGTAACTTAGATAAGAAGTTGTTGATCAATTATCAAAGTATTATATATATATGTATATTCTACGATGTATATTTGTCTGGGCTTACGTAAGCTAGTCTTTTGGTTTGATGTCACTGAACAAAACTTTTTCAAAAATCTGAAAGCACGATGATATGTATACCTTCCATAGAAGCAATCGGAAAATGAATATCCGATTTTATCGTTTATTTGGCTTAATATAGTCAGAAAATAAACACACAAATAATAAATACATTAACGTTACTCAAATTTATTGAAAACAATCTTTTTCGAATGCTGAATTGACATTTAAAATTCTCAAATCAAAATACGAGTTTATCTTGAGTTTAATATTTGTACACCCTTGAAGAAAATATAATAAAATTGGTCAGAAGTTTGTAATGCAGTGCAGGAAATATTTTCGATCTATATAATTATTCAGCATGACTAGATGAATTGATATAGCCATTTCAGTTTGTACGTCGGGTTCTATACCGTTTGCGAGCTGGTTTTAAATGCTAGATTTAAAACTTTCGCAATTGTATTTTTTTATGTGTGCGCAGATTTTATGTGTAACCTGATAATGTTAGTGAAAATCGTGCCGATCGAACGACTATATCCTATAGCTGCCCTAGGAACTATAAGGTCAACATTGTTTTGAGGTTTTTTTTTTAGTGTTTAAACCCTATTCCGTCAGTTCTGATCAAAATCGGTTGCCTATGTATGTCCTATAGCTTCTATATATGTCTCACACTAACCATACGATTATATGTCGATATTTCGCGCAGGTTAAAAGATAGATTCTTGGGGCATTCCAAATTGTAATTGGCGCTTTCCTTTTGGTAAAAAGGCGACAATTTGTTTTTATTTTTGAAAAAACTGCAAGGCTATTAAGGGTTCGGCTTGCCGAAGCTAGCTTCCGTATTTCTTATTTATTATATTTAAGTATTTATTCGAAAATTTTCTTTATTATATTTAAGTACTTATTCGATAATTTGAATAGGGGTTTTTTGTTTTCTAGGAGCACTCACCTTGAGCAGCCTGACCACGTCCGGTGGGAAGGCCGTGAGGGCCGAGCTGGAGACGCGGCGGTACATGCGGTCCACGAAGATGCCGGCCCGGATGGCGTGGGCCACCGATCGGAACTTGGGCTTCTCGTCGCTCTTGCGCCGGCTGGTGGCCATCTGGCGGGTGAAGGTCGAGGCCAGCCACTCGCGCACCTCCGGCGGCACTGCATCCGGCTGCACCTCCGACAGCTCATCGTCCTCGTCCGCCAGGCGCCTGTGCGAAGGGGGTGCGGGGGTTCCGGGGGGGAAGAGAAGCCGTTCGTTAGTTCGATTGCATTGGGATCCTTTTACGGGTTAATCGGTTACCAAAACAATACTCAATAAAGGTACAAAACTAAACCGAATCTTTAATTGGTTATCTGCTTTCGAGTTCGGCAAGCTAATGTTAAATTCAACTCAAATGAAAGCCAAGTGGAAACAATAAAATATAATTCGAACAGAAAGTTTTAAGTTTTTGTGTGGGTTACAATTTTGCACGGAAAAAGGAAAGTTTTCTTTTCGGGGTAGAAACAAAGTTTAGTTTTTGTATACAAGTTTAATTAGTGAGCGAGGAAAATAAGTAGTTCTTTGGTTAAAGTAACATTTACGGATACAGATAGGTGGTACGTATACATTTATTTGCATTAGCTACTTAACATCTCAAAAAGTTTTCAGGGGCGGTTGGGGGAGTGGTTTGGTGTTTTTGGGGGGGGGGGAAAAAGGAGAGGGGGTGGTGCAAAAGTTGCTACTATGCAAAAAGCTGACAAAGGCAGGCAGAGTGCAGCATGCTTCGTGTGGCATGTGGGGCGCTGGTGGGCGGGTGTTCTTGTGTGTGTGTGTTATGGGCGTGGTCGTGGCGACTCAACGGATTTTCTTAATTGCATGCCAAGTATCTGTGCATTTTATGTGCAACATCAAAAACGAGAACAGCAACAGCAACAGCAACAGACAAGACTTCGTGCTGAGGGCGACAAGTTTCACTTGCCAAAGTCGCATCTTGCTTACAAAGGGATTCTACACTTCCTAATTGGCTCGTACACATTTATGTACCTGCCCACGCACTGTCAGTAACATCTCATATAATTGGCCTATGCGGAAAGTGCCCCTCCTTTATCAGAGTCCCAATCAATGCATTCCCATAGAAACAAGGATTTCCCTCCCATTTTCATGCACCCATCTCGAATTCCTTAAAATTAGTTGAAAACAAAGATACTGGATACAGCTCAAACTTTTTGAAAAGAATATTGATAAGCTTATTTTGGCTAAGACATGATATAATTATTTTTAAAAATAAATTGACGTATTTTGTAATACCATTTTTATGAGTAAAAATCACACTAACCGTCTAACTAAATTGATATATTGCGATTGTGCTATATATGCTGCAGAGTATATTAATCTTTAAGCACACTAACCCTTAAAATAAATATATATATATATATATAAAAGCAAACATATATATCTCATTTTTTTAATTTATTCAAAAAGTTAGTTTATCCAATTTAATAGTGGTGTAATAAATATTATTAATATTATTTAATTGGAAATAACCTGAAATTCCGCCCATCTTTGAATAAATAGGATATAATGGTCGGTAATATGTATTTACAATTTTGTATCCCTCCAAGTTGTCAATGTTTTTTAGTTAAGAATATAAGATGTCGAAAATTGTGAAAAATTTATATTTAAATTTCAAACGAAGATGACATTTTTCTTGGAAAGCCATTTTCCTCTCATTACTTGCCATTTTCTTTTTAGCCGAAGCTTCAAAGCACTTAAGCACTCCTTAGAAACTGAAACTCTCAGATAGAGTGAGACAGGCGCTGAGTGAGAGGGAGGGAGATAGGAAAACCGACTGTCTGAAGCGCTTTTGACTTAAGAAAATTAGCGTAGGATTCAATTATGGTTAATTAGACAAATTAGAGCTCAGTCTGCGGCCCAAACATCATCCTCCTCTCACAACTTATCTTTAGTGTTGGTAGACGATTCCAGGCCAAGATGTTCGAGTAGCTCTTGGATTAGTGGGTTGACATGAGATGACACCACCCATCGAAGTGGGTTATCTAAGCCACAACATTAATGCCGAAGCTAAGTAGTTAGCGGTGAGTTTAAGTGGGCACGATTTTCAAGAAGAAGTCAGTAATAGTTGATGTCATGAGTCATCATATCATAAGTAATGAGGGATGTTTTCTTAGAAATTCATTTATATTAGCAACATTTAAATTGTTAAGGTGATAATTACATTATTTACTTTAAAAATCATATTCTCATATTCTTTATAATTCGAAATTATTTGTTTTGTTTCGTTGAATGGCAACAATAAGTACTGGAGATTGTAAAATTCATGGTTGGTTTTTTCAAGTTATAAAATGAGTTTACCATATAAGTTTGGATGGTTCTTAAAAAAAACTTTACCCTCAAAAAATGTGTTCCAAAACAAACCAATTTTATTATAAGTTTTTGGCGTTGCGCAAAAGTTTCAAAGTTTTTATAAAAATTACTCATACGACACGTGACGTCAGTTAAATGTCTTTGATCAACGGCAACTGTGCGTATGCGTGATAAAGTTCTAGTCCAATTCGCATTTCTTAAAAATGTTTCTGGTATGCTTTTAAATTAGATCAAAAAACACATTGTAAATAATGTTATAGATAGTTTTAAAGAGGTCTCCCACTCATTTGTATCAATAATATTTATAATTAGTTATTTATCTCAGCATCGCATTCACATTTTTAAATCTTTCACAAATTTAGTATTTTTCGCTTTGAGTCCCCTCTTCCTGATCCAATATTCTCCTACTAAACTCCCAAAAATGGGGTTCCTCCCCATCCATCATCACTGTTCTTGCATAACACTCCCTATAAACTGTGGCGACAGTTTGTCATGTGGATTTATTTTCTGTGCATTTCCTACCAAGTGTTGCGGTTGGGATGTTTATTTTGCAGCAAGATAATTCACCGGGCTTTGCATTGTTCTACTGGTTGGGTTTGGTTTGCTTGGGCTGTGTTGGTTTTTGGTTTTTGCAGTAGATTTATTCTGAATTTAATACCATTCGCTCAGCATGGCATGCTCCGCTTCAGAGACACAAAACATTTTCGGTTTCAAGGGAACACTTTAAAGTCTGGCTATGGCAATCGCACCTTTTCTTCTTCTCCTGCGTCTCCTTGGCGCGATACTGAATTATGAACTGAATCAGCTCGACGGTGATGACGCTTTGCCGGCTGCTTTCACGCCGCAGACGACTCATGGCGCGAACGGCGACGACGACCACGATGGTAATGACGGTCAGCCGGCTGGAGCGGCTCGTCGATGGCTCCTCAGGCAGTGGCACTCCGGCTGGCTCAGATACAACACCCTCCGCACGGCCACCCGGTTGGGACATGGAGGAGTCCAGGTGGAGGTTGACTTTGCGGCAATGTCGTGCCCGCTTTTTGGCACTCGAAATTAATACATTAACACATCACTCCGGGGGCAGGGGCTTTGAATTTGGGGTCTCCTCTTCACTACCCCGTCCACACTTCACTTTCGTAATTAGCTGGCCGAGCAAAATGCGCTTTTAATGACGGGACAACAACCAATATTTGTGCAGCACTTTTTTCCTTTTTTCCTGTTTTATTTTTTTATTTTCTGGGGTCTACGGAACGGAATTCTTTCTTGTCGCCGCTCGTTGCCCGACTTTTGTGTACTTGGTCCGCCGCGAGTTAAGTTTAAACTGAATTGCTCTGGAGCGGCGCAAAGCAGCAGCGAAAAAACCCGCAAACGGTTGGCAAAATTCTGCCAGAAGAAGCCAATCCGGACCCAGTTGCGTGCCCACCGGAGTCCGGAGAGTCCTGGCAAGGCAGGATTGCGTGCACAGGACTCGGCACACGCCAACTGCAGGAGGAAGAAATGTAAGGCCGGCAGAAAATGGAAAACTTTGAGAAAACTGTGCTAGGTGGCCCATATCAATTATGTCAGCAGTAAGACATCGCCGAGTCATGCCAGGCCCAACAGAACTATTATGTACCAAAATGCCAGTCACTGAGAGAATGGTTTTTTTTTTCACTTTTAAGGCATTTGAATAAATGTGTACTTATTTACTTTCTAATATCATTTCTTTACTTTTAGAGGAAGGTTGCAAATTGCTTTGCAAATCACAGGACATTTTGAGGTCTAGAAGTAAGGTAGGATAAAAGTATTTAAGTCCATACTTCAAGGATACTTTTAAAAGAGATATTTTCTGATTTTTATGTTTGTAGTATTTGGAAGTTATGCCTTTGCCTTTTGAAAACTAAAACCTTAGGCAGACAAGTTTCTATGTTTATTTTTCAACTTCTTCCTATTCCATTTTCCATAAAACTAAGATTTTTAAACTTATTTTTAAAAGTTCTCATTATTTCCTTATTTCTAAAATAAACTTGTTCCTTCCCATTTTTCTTTCAGCGTATTCCCAAGCTGGATCTAGTCCACTCGTGCACATACACCCTTGTATATTTTTACTATTTCCCACAAAACAATTACACAAAATGCTAAAAGGCATCTACCAAACAATACCAACAAAGTGGCAGTAAGGTGAAGAAGACCAGCTTTGGCTGTAATAACCAGCAGAAGTAGAGGGAATTACCGGAGCCTGATAAACACGACAACGTCACGAATTCATTTAACCAGAATTCGAGGCAACCGGCAAAAGTATCTGTAACTGAAAGTAACTTCCTTCTGGGTCCTTGGCGTTTGCCTTTTGTTTAATGACTTGCCACGACCCCTCTTTTCCACTAGGATTTCAATGGGGAAGGGTTCAAGGAGGTTTGCGTTTGCGTTTGGGTTTGGGTGGTAGGCCGCCATAAAAAGAGGTCCAATCCAATACCAACAAGCCAACCCCACTTTCTCCGGTTCTTTTACCAATTGCATTCCATTCGTGCGCGCTTCTCTTATTTTCTTTTGATTCAATTTTCATTTCTCTGGCGTGCGGCAAATTGCGTGCTACGGCGTTTGCTGAAATAAATTGCATCAGTTATTGGCACATTTGCATGATTTCTCTATAAGCATTCCTCTGCTTTCTCCCCCGTTTCCCTTATGATATGCAGTTGGCCAGCACGCGAGCTTTAATCTTGAGAAAATTGCTTAAAGTCTGCAACAGGTTGCAAGTGAATTCGGATAAGTGCAGCTTGAATTGCTCTGAAAATGCCTGTAAAGTGACTTATTGTTGGTAAAAGTGTTACTTAACAAATTCACGATTATTACATTGGGACAAAAGTT